GGCTCCCTGCATGCCAGGAAATCCCAGAGATGTTTGCAAGTGACACTAGAGCTGTCTCAGCACAGGAGACCTGCCTGAACAGCGTTGGATTTACCGTGCACAAACAGACCATCCACACAGTGGGTTTGGCATATCTGCACATGTCAGGGAAACAGCTCACATACTGTGCAGTTGATTTGTGCTCATGCAGCTGCCATTTGCCTGGGATTACTATATATCCAAAAACCTCAGGCTCATGACCAAAGCCCTCACAAGAGGGACACATCTGGGGAAAATCTGACATATTTTATGCATATGGGCTGTGGATCTGAGGCAGTCTCATGAAATACCAAAAACTTGGGAAAAGAAAGCCACCGTACTTAATTCTTTTCTTAAAAAAAAAAAAAAACAAAAACCAACCGGGGGGGGGGGGGAACCCCAACTCCTCCTATTGCAAAGACAGGACTGCGTCTGGAAAACAAACCCACCAGAGAACTATGGGAATGGAGCAAATATCTTGAAAAGGGCCGATACTTTAGAGGAAGGAAACTGTGATACTCCCAGTGCACTCTGCCAAAGTGCATGCCTGGTGACTGTGAGACATTTAGCAGACCTGCCAGGAGATGATGTTGGTGGAGCCAAAACTGAGGAACAAGTGTGCTACCATGCAGGGAACTTTGAACTCCTCTTTGTCTCTCCTGTCTCACCTTTTCCAAATCAAGCCCAACCTGGTAAAGCACTGCTTAAACATGAACAACAACTTTATCAAAGGAGGTCACAACTCCCCTACCTTTTGAAGCATTGCTTTTTTGCAAACAGAATACCACTGGACTCTTCAACAGAAGAAAACATTAGCTTAGGAAGGAGTGGACTGAATTTCCTCTTGATCTCAGCGATCTCCACAGTCACCTTTTCTTCCCCTATTGTTCAGCTGAAAAAGCCTGCCAAGACAGCTTTTATTTTAACCTTCACCAGTTTAAAAGATCATGTTTAAGTACACATTTGTCCTCTCAGATTTGACTACAGGCCATTATGTGGGCAAGCTGAGATGTTTCTAACATTTATTTCAGCACTATTTTCCTACAAAGGTATTCAAAAAGAACGTACCTTTTTCTTATCACTTGAAATTCTCATCATCCTGGTAATGTGTTTAACAGCTTGATCTGCTTTCACAGCCTCATCTTGGCAGCTACTGCTGAAAATCCACCCTGTAGTTAAGGTCTTGTCTCCTGCTGCTAATTAGAGACTGGCATTTCACAAGGACAAACCATTCATTGCCCACTACTGAGTAATTCCTCAAATATTTATGTTCTGTTACTATTCCTAACAGAACCATCTATAACTGCAGCTCTCTTTTCCCATGATCCCAATAAACTGTAAGGAATTACTGTACAAATGTACACTAGTCACTTTATTAAAAGAGCAGGAAGAAGATTTAATCTCAGTGTCGATTCAAAGACTTAAAAAGACCAGTACTATACACAGACTTAAAGAAAAAAGGCTTACGATTAACTTCAGAAGCTTCCAAAATCACTGATTTGCTTTTTAATGCACAGAGATGCTTACATCTGAAATAAAAAGTGTAACTTTACTACGGCAGGCTATACAATCACCTAGGCCAGTATCCTGTCTCCAGCAATGCCAAGTGCAGATACACGGACAAAGAATACAATAGGGGAACTGCCAAACACACTTGACTGCTTATACTCCCCCTGCCACTGGCAGATGTGTTTGCACTAATTTAGCATGTTTTACAAAGCTTAATTAGGAGATTCTGGCTTTCAAGTTTTTCACTGAAAAATACTTCATTAACATAGGAGCAGTTTAGAAAACTTGAATGGTTTCGCCCTTTGATATTCTTCACCGTTAAGACACTATTGTACCTTCTGCTTGCCCTATGTAAGAGTGAACACAAGATAAAAGAATTTGTTAACAATAACTAAAAGAAAACAATCATAAAGACAGGTTTCTTAGGATGGGTCTAAATTTTAACCACCTACAAATACATCAAAAGGAGACGAAGCACATTATAGAGGAAGAGCCAAAAATCCCTACGGGAAGAGTATTACCCAAGAAGTGGCAAAGCATTTAACAAATAAGTAGATGTTCCCATAAGACATCTACCTCACCAGCAAAAGCAAAATGTTAATTAACCTGCTTGAGGGTAGGCAAGAAAGAAAAAGAAGCCTTTTAAACTAAGGGAAGTGCATAAATCCATAGTGTGTTTTGAAATAATTGACAAAAGTTACTGACTTAGGGAGGAAAACATGTTAGTTCTCCACTAGTTTTCTAGCTGATGAAGGATGCACACCTCCAACTTGGTTACTCTGGTTCCAAGAAGTATTAATGGAATGACTGACCAAATTCAGGACATGGCAATTACAGGAAAGTTCCAAGCTATTTAAAGCACCAACAGGATAGTCTCCTGCTACATAACTAGCCTTCCTGAAATAAACAGGCACAACCAGGGACAAGCAAATTAAGAATGAACTCCCCTCCCACCCTCTGCCATTAATTCTGTTAGTAGTGTTAATTAAAACTTTTCTACCTTCTTTGGCTGTGATCATCAATTTAGTATTCCAGAGCCCTCTAGGAAGATGCATTTCACAAGAAGCTCAAGGAGTCTGTGCAAATTTTTCTTTCCTGTGTACCAACTTATTTCCTTTAGTGTATTAAGAATGAATTCTTTTATCTGTGAAAAAGAGCTATGGACACTTTTAAACAAGTCTTGAGCGGTTCCTCAAGCTACCACTGTCATCTCTCTGCTTTTGATTTGAAACAGGCCCTTTTTAATGTCACAAAACCAAACTTACTGTTTGGGTGGTAATTGTGCATAATGTCACTAATGGTTAGCCAACCAAGGTTTTTTCCAGTTGGCTGGCTTTCTCAGAAAAAAATTTTACTCATTTTCTAAATATTTTATTGTCACTATTTGAATTCAGAAATTTTTATTTCTGAGTAACACTGAAACACTTTGCTTAAGAATACCTTTGTTTTGAATAAAGGCTGCTTACAGAAAATTGAAACTTGAAATACAGCCATTTTGACCAAAGCTTGTTTTTATGTTATTGAGATATCTTAAGTTTCCCAGGATTCTATATTATGAAGTTTTCATGTTTGCTGGAAAACCCTTAGCCACAAAACTTTGCCCAGATAACACCTGTACATTTATGAACTGCCTCATATGGGGAAAGAGGAGCCATAATGAAGCGGCTTTCCTCTGTTTCTGTAAAGAAATGGAAGGAAGCCAGCTGATCAGTAAGTAACAAGTTTAGCCTATCGATGCAGAAGTTCAGTACAAAACTCTAATTTAAATTTGGTAACCCAACTTAAGGGTGTCCAGTCATTCACATTATAGAATGTGTCAGAAGTTGAATCCTTGCTGACACCAGTTACTAGTATCTTTTTTTTTTTTTTTTTTTTTTTTAACACAGCAGGTAAGCCGCTTTCCTCTCCATGGACGAGTTTTCAGACACAGCAGCAGATGGTTTCACAGGTATTTGCTAGATAAACAAGCCTCGCTGCAAGTAAACAGCCTCAGGTTCATTTCCAGCTTCTGGAGAACACTACCTCAGAAGCGTACCTCCAGTCACCGCAGGGCTGAACACTTCCTGCTTCACCCTCTGCTTTTTTGCAGTACCAGCACTGGGAGAACAGCACAGAGAACAGAAGCAGATCCCTGTTCTGTGTGCACGTAGGAATCAAGAGAACTTCCCTACTGAATGACAGCCACGCGAACAGAAAAAGCAAAGTCACTACAGCCAGATTAAGTAATTCTGTTGCTGTTTTTCAGTAGGGCCACAGTTAAGTTCCTCCTCAAAATTCAAGTTGCTGCTTCAAGGCAAAGAAGCCAAGTAGTTTAAAGCACAGAGGACAGAATATTTTTAAAAATTACAAAAAACTACAACTTCAGTCAAACAGTTAATTTTGTACAGTTGCAAGCAATTTAACTATGTCCTTAACATTTTAACATCAGTGGTTCTTCCAGGCAAGTCAGGAGAGCACTGACCCATCAGCCCTAAAAAGGGCTCTTTTTCACAGTAAAAGACCAGCCTGGGGTTTTTCAGGAAAAAAAAAAAAAAAAAAAAAAAAAGCAAGTTATATGATCTGAACAAAGCTTCACAGAGTAATATTAACACAGATTTTTACCTCAAAAGAAATACAAACAAAATGGAGCTCTACTCAGGAGCCTTTAATTTTTTTTTTAATTTTTTTTTTTTAAAACAGGCTTAAAATATGCAAATGAAGAAAAAGTATGTGGATATTATAAATAACATAAATCAGATAAGCTTTTACAGTAACACTACAAACACCCCAGTGGGGAAGGAATGCAGTACTAACAGCAACTATAAGCAATCATAAAGCAATCAAACTTGCCTAATTCTAGGCAAAAATATTCGTCCATCAAGTGTACAATTGCAACTGACAACAGGATTCTAGTTGGGTACAACTCACCCTATTGATAAGGTTCCTTTTCAGAAGAGAGACCATTATTTCAGCTATGTGAATATGAGGTTCCTCATCCTGCTTACAGTTAGAAATAAATACGTTATGTTTGTGTACAGTACTCTTTAACAGAGGTCTGAACAACACCAACAGTTTCTTACAAAACATTCCTGCGAGGTAGGTATATCATCATCCCTGTTTTACAAATGGAAAAGAGATTTGCCCAGAGTCTCACAGCTATTTAGTATCAGAGCCAGGAACACCTCCCCTGACTCTGTACCAAACCTTTTCCACTAGGCAATGCTCCTTTTTAGGTTATACTATTGCATTCAAAAAAGTTATTTTAAGACAACATATATGTTTAATATTACAATATAGCGTTTTGTAATAAAACAAGAATACAGTATAGCTCGTCTTTGAGGTACCATCCCTCTCCCCTCCCCAACTCTTTTACCTGTAGATAGCCAAAATAACTATGGACTAATGAAAAGAAGTTTTTAAAAATATGCACTCTAGGAGCAGATATGCAAGTGACTGAAGTATGTTTCTGTTCATAAAGAACATTTGTGTTATTTCTCTAGTGCCAACTTATATCGGGCACTAGGACCATGCAAATTGTGTTATTTTAAGATGGTAAGCAGTTGCCTGTCTTCAGTTTTGCAGTTTAGTGTCAATAACTCCAGTCAATCTCAGTAATTACTACAGATACCTTTCCCAAGCTTAGTATAATGGTGACCTAAAACCACTTCCCCCTACAAAGACTCTTAAAACACTTTTGGAGCTACACATTCAGCTCCCACATCCACTAAGTGAGAGTCTTGATTAAGACAAACACATGTGATTTCAGGTTTTAACAAATTTCCATTTTCAAGTTTTATAATGAAGTGACTAACTCCTGTATTGGGACTGACAGAAGACAACTGAGACTTTGTTAAATTTGTTGGTAAAGTACAGTTGAGATCTGAAACAAAATAACCGATCCAGTTCCTCATGTAGGCTCCATGACTCACCACTAATATATTGGCATCTAATATTTCAGAAGTTCCACCGCTACCAGAGCTAAGTTCTGCTTCACTACAGTGGTTTGTCCAAGGGAAAACTAACTGTTCTTCAGCTGTTCCTGAGCTTCTGCTTGCTGCACCATGCATGTCTTGCTCCTTCTGTTCCAATTCAACAGCTAGCCGACACAGAAATTCAAAAAAATCCCTTGCACGTTCTCTTACCTAAAGAGAAAGGTCAGAAGAGTACGTTGTGAAGAATGCAAGACACTTCAGCTTTCAGAAATCTGATATAACTACTTCAATTAAAAGACAAACATTTATCACAGACAAGTCTCAGAAATCAATGCTAAGTTACTGAACACTGTAAAAACTCCTCTGCCCTCCAAAGCCAAAGTTGAGAATAATTGCCATCATCCTTCTGCAAACGACAGCTTCATGAGGAGTCAATCTCAAAATCAATATTTTAGTTCTAAAGAGATTCCCTACTTGGCAGCCACTGTAATCAGGTCAAGCAGTGTTTTTAGCTTAGAAAATATCTACCTTCAGTTGGGCTAAGCTCTCAATAAGATGTTCCTAAGTATGCAAGAGCTGCATCTGCACCGACAGAATGGCCTAGAAAGTAGGGCACAAATAAATAAATACCATACTTCATCCAGTGTTTCTCCTCCAGAAGGCGTGAATGAAGGACATTGCTCTCCAGCAGTCTTTGCCATAGCCTTGAGGTCAGTCAAAGGCCTTCCTTCTGCAACACCGTATTTCTGTAAGAGGCAAGTTACAAAGAGTGGGTTTAGCAAGATAAATCAAGTCTCCAGTACCGCTTCCAATGCAAACATCTCTTAACAGCTTTGTTTTCTTGGATTCTCAAGTGTAACATGCAGGCTTAATTACCTTTTACATTTTATTCCAATATTGGGGGAGGAGGTATCTTTCTATCTGCTATTTAAGTTACAGCATAGATATATGCTGGGTAGAGAAATACATTAAGAGCAGCATCTCATTTAAAGTACTAACATTCAAAACACTACCTTCAGCCTGATCTTTGCCTCAAGATTTTTTCCTACATTCTTGACACTCATTCTTAGCATACAAAATTCAAGTGTCTTTGTAACTGAGGTTACACTGCAAACACCTCTGTATGTAGCTGTTCATACAAGGATAAACCCCATTTACTTTTCATTTGCAGAAAGACTACAGGGAACTACTTTTCACAAGTAAGAAACAAGTAATTTCTCTACAGACCTCTGAAATCTCCACAACAGAGGACGAGTCCATTTTAAAATCAGAATTTTTGAAAAAGACAAAAAAAAGATGAAAAAACACAAGTACTCTACCTATTAGAAATACACAGTAAAGCCACCCCCCATTTTTTCAAGACACACATTACTCCTGGGGACAGTGTTTTCAGAAAACAAGGTGGCAAAAAACCCGACCTTAAAAACATATGCTAATGGACTCAGAGAACATGCAATTAACTATCTTCAATGACATGCTTATTCCTGAGACCTCCAAAAGCAAGGCCCGTACAAGAAACAGCAGTAAGAACCCACATATACCAGGTAGTTATTCTGGATCACTAGAAGTCACATTATCAAACATAGTATTTATCACTTGTAATGTATTTTACAGGAGAGATACACTTGGATGTGCATTACCATTTTTGACCTTGAAGATCTTTCCAAGGCACATCTCTAACAATGGTAAAACAGATTAATCCTTCTCCCTCTGAAGATTAATACTTCACTGTCACTAACAGATGAAAAATGCATTCAAATGGAAAGCTTTGGTCTTTCCTTGGAATGTCTGAAAACAGTGAAAACGCTGCAGTTATGATGAGTGTTTCTGAGAAAGTAAGAGCTGATGCTATACTGTCAAACACTCAGTTACACGCATTACAGAAATCCAGATGTTGATTACTAGGATACAGACACATACTCATTACTGAGGCTTTTTTGACTTCTATGTCACTATCCACTTGCTGTGGATATGCAGTTAGCTGCCATAATAACTAATTTATTACAGTCTTCAGAATTTAAATGTACTGAAACACATTTACTTCAGCCTCTCAATCCCTTCTCTAAAGCAAAATACTGGCAATTTAAGAACACTAAGACAGATGTGAAGAAATAAGTGCTCTGAAACAACTGAAAATTAAATCCTAATCTTAAAGATTTTTCCAGACTTAGAGAATAATATTTCTTAATAGGATCAACAACATATGTTCTTTTAAAGGACTTTGCCTCTTTTCATGCAATTCAAACTTAATTCCAGTCATCCAGAGCAGTGACTTACAAGCTGTGGCTCGCAGACACTGTACTGGCATTTCTATACATCCATACAAACACCATGAAAGGGTAAAAAATAACAGAGACTTAAGATTATTCTTTCTAAAATTCTGTATCATGACCCATAATATTTTAAAAAAACATCAGGTGGTAAAGCAACTAAAGAAGATGGGGAGGCATTTAACTTGCTGGTTTCAGGGGAAGAAGTGGAATTTCTGACAGAAAAAGAAGATCCATACAGGAAATGCTACAATTGTGTTCTGTTCCTTAAACACTTACTTGCCTGCTGGCAATATGCCATCCCAATTTTGGTTTTGTAGCATTTCCTTATTTAAAATTCAGCTGACACTCTCAGAGTAGCATCTGAAGGGTGATTCATATTAGCAGAAACAGCCAGCATCCAAGTTTATTCTGATCAGACATACTTAAAAACAGACAGGAGGTACAATTACACCTGTTATCAGGCAGAGAGGCTAATCAGGAAATCAGACTGTTCCATGGGCAGCAGAAAGCTTTTCAGTAGTCTTTGTGCAAATGAAAAGGTATAAACTCCTAAAAAGACAACATCAGGCTTGAGCAGGTAGGCAGAGGGAGCATCTTTAACACTTTACACATGGGGTTACCAAACAGAGCTAAGCTTTTTATTACGTTTAAGATAAGTAAGGTAAGATTTACATGTAGAGGGAATTAAATCATTAGAACATCACAGTTACAGCACTAATCACTAAATTTTGGCTTTGCTTCACAATTCTGCAGTCAGGCAAACAATTTATAGTACCTGATGTGAAGAGTTGACTCTTCAGTGATTAAAACCACATCAAATAGTGCTCTCCACTGTTAAATCTACCATTTAATAAGCCAAGATATCCATCAGCAGTAAGTCACATTTTCAAATGGGTCAGTGTTCAATATTAAAACAAGCTCTTTTGGCACTTACTCTCTCTCGAAGTCTTGCATCATACTTGATTTCCAAATCTTTGCAAAACTTATTTTTTCCTAGAATTGTGGCAGCAGTCTAAAAGGTGAATATACAGTCGTGTCAATGGGCTGTTTTCTCATGGGACAGCTAGACCATCTTACAACACCACAGCCAATGTGAATCACATTAGTAGTGCCCAACAACCCAAACAAACAAGATAAATCTTTTTCAGCTACTAGTGTCTGTCAGAATTGGATATATGGCCTGAAGCTGAAGACACTTAGCACCCATGAAAGGTGGGCAGCAAGATGCACAGCAGCAGCAGGATTTACTGATTTACCGAGATAAAAGCCGCATCTTCTCTTGACTATACTGCTACTCACAAAGCAATCACGCCAACTACATTCTTTATATGTAGTACCTGAGTCAGACTCACAAGCAGTACGTTCCTAAAAACTGATCAGTTAAACTGACTGCGAAAAACATAGCATCTAAAAATTAAATTACTTTCTGGCAAGTGCACCTCAGAAATCAAATACTCTTGAAACAGTTAAGAGGCAGGAGGGTGTTTGCTGCCAACATACTGAAGTGTCAGCCTCGATGTTACGAGGGAGAAATGCACTGGATGATACACTTGGGGAAAAAAAAATAATCTAGCTTATTGTATTCACCTGTCTTTTGATAGCATGGGCAAGAGACAGAGAAAATCCAAAGGGCTTAGTTTGCTTTTAACAACAGTCTGCATGTCTTGAGTTTTGTGCTATGTATCTTTTTTTCCTTCCAAGGAAGCATGTGATTTTGGGGGTGCAGGGAGAGCAAGACAACTGATCAAGAGGAAATTCTGATACCACCTTGGAAAAAATATTGCCTAATACAGGTTCTGGCGTGTTGGGTATTATACAGCTGTCTGGCTGCCACAGCCAGCAATGGGAACTAAAGGACTGCTAACCTGCTCCTGTTGTTATATGCACCAAAGTGTGAAGGCTGTACTGGATTCACATACAGTCGTGACTGGTAATATCAGCTGGAAGTCCTGTGCAAATGTCCACATCCAATCAAACTGACATTCAAACAACTCATTTTGAAAAGGCTCCTTGGATTTTGGCAAATAATAAGCAGCCTTGTTGTACTAACAAGACTTTATGACCTATTAAATGTATTGCTTAGGAAAGGCTTTATGTTGCAATTTTAAATATCTGTCATAGAATAGTGTCAAAATTCAGATAGGGTTGAATCAATTTCCTTGTATATATAAATAGGACAGTTAATTGAATGGTTACATCCTGAAATTTCTCCAGGACCAAGATCTTGTTCAGTACATAGAAAAGACAATATTCACCTACTCAGCACTAACTCATACTCTGAACTGTAAATATTAACATAGAATCATAAAGTCATTTAGGTTGGAAAAGACCCTTAAGATCATTGAGTCCAACCGTTCACCTAACACTGCCAAGTCCACCACTAAACCAGGTTCCTAAGCGTCACGTCTACAAGGCTTTTAAATACCTGCAGGGCTGGTGACTCATTTACCATGCTGAAACCAAAATCTGCTCTGAAGAAGAGATTAACTTCCTCGCACCTTTCCTACACCATCCATTACTAGAATACTAGCATGTTTCAGAAACGTTCCTGAATCTTCATAGTACCACAGTGAGAGAAGTGATATTAGCCCCACTTTACACATGGAAAAGCCTCAAAGATTTCCTCTCATCCTTCTCAGGCCCCAGCCTGTCTCAGTTCTGAACCTACTTTCACTGCTGCAGAGCTCTTGTCCCAATGGCATGAGCATCTCACAAGTAGGCCCCATATTCCCCTGCAGACTTTGGTGTTATGCTCTGTTAAGCTTACAAGTCTTAGGGAGTTATGCTTCACACCACAGCCCAGTCTGCCCAACTAGTCTTTTTTTATTTTCACATTGCTGGTCTGCCTGCTCTCCTCTACACTGCTAATTTCCGGACCCTGCCCCCTAGGCTTATTCTCTCAAACAGGCTTCCCTGCAAAGCCTCTCTCCGCATTTCCTATACGTGCTCACTTTGCATCTCCTGTAGCTCTCGGAATTCCTGCCCAACTAGTACAACTCTCTGCACACATCCCTGTTTTCTCCTATCCTGCTCAGGCTCGAACGTTCAGCTGTCAGCCATGGGCGGTAGCCAGAGGACCCCGTACCACTCCTGGTTCCAGTAACCAGTACACACCCTGACTACAGCTGATGCAGGAGACATTGCAAAGAAAACTAAACTTCATCACTAACAGTTTCTTTAAAAACCTTCCCCCCTCCGCCCTCTTTTGCAAGGAAACTTGTACATTCCTCTCATACCTGAGCTATGAAGTGACAGCGTAGTAAAGGACACTTCTTCATAGATTTGCAGCTGCCAAAAAAGGGAGTTCCAAGCAAATGGAAACTGCAGCTTCACACATCTTTGGAAAAGCTTCCGCAAAGTCTGGATAGCTTGTCAAACAAATGGCAAAACACATTTCCTTTATGCAAAGGACAAATTCAGGTCTGTCTTCTACATTATGAGAGTGCAAACGCTTCTCATGGAAAAGGCTGTCTCCAACATAAAGAAAAAATCACCAACCTCACTCTCAAGCAGCTGAGCATTCAGAAACAATTACCGTAAGGCAGGCACATAGCACAGACAGTCTTATGAACGTTACAAAGCACTATTAATATTTTTATATATAATCACTGCCATTCACACACTTAAAGGAAGTGACTTGTCAGGCAGTTATTATATATTTTAAAAATACCTAATTATTACACTCCTCCCTCCCTGTCTCTCTAGTTTGTTTTCTGCCCAAGTTGTGCTGCTACAGCAGTTTATGGGACAGTGCTGCAAAACTGGTGAGCAATGTTGATCATGTATGTTTTAAGGAAAAAAAAGGGGATTTACGCTAGATTTTGTTGATCTGGTTTACAGCAAGGCTTCAGAGACTTTTGTAGCAGGACAACAGAGCAAAAAAAGCAAGCTACCAGCAGCACTATTAAGAATCGCTTAGTAGTTTCAATCACATGAAGCCTACATGTCTCCTGAAATCACAGCATCAGTAACAGAAGAGAGAATTAAGGACAGAGCTTCCACAGGAGATATGACCTTCCTAGAGCAGCTGATCTACGCCTCTACCTTTAAAAGTTCTGTTTCCCTCATTTTTTGAGTATTTCGTAATCCTGCACACAAAATCACAGGTAATCCCACCCAGCAATTAACATTTTTTTCCTCTTTAATGAACCTATTAAAATAATGCACTGAGGCCAGAGGTGTGTTATTATGTTCCTGCCAAAATCCAACCTCTCTGCACATCTAATGATCCTTGTACTGACTTTACAGCAAAACTTGATCTTGCCTATATTGGTCTGCATTCCTCAGAAAAAACACAGCATACAGCCGCAATGCATAAGACAGTACAACAATATCACAGCCAATTTGTTTTGTTTCTTCAAAGAAAAACTGACTTCAGTCTGTGTTACCCCTAAGTCCCGATTACTTCTTTAGCAAGAACCTATGCGCATATAAAATAACAGCAAATCCATAAGAACAACACTGCATGACATCCTGCAAAGCAAGCTGGCCTTCACTGCTTCCTAACTGAGCTGTTCTCATTGAAATTTCCTTACTCGTCGAGGCCTTCTTGAATTCTACACAACTCAAACTGCACTTCTAAGACCATCAAAATAGCTTTTGGCTCTCCATCACTGTATTACTTTTGCATCATCAATAACAAATAAATACCAAATTCTGAAGCTAATATTTACGTTCAGTTGCCTCAAGAAGCACTTGCCTGCTTTGCTCGAAGGAGATCACTTGAAAAGACATGAGTAAACTTCACATTACTGAGAAATAAACCAGCAGCATCTGCTTGTCTGAAACCAGTTGCAGAGAGCGGCTCATCCACTCCTTGACCTACAGAATAAAAACCCATGAACATTAAGACATGTGTATTTTAGATCATTTAGCAGCTGAGCAAGCACAGCAGCAATAAAGAATCTGCTCAGTCGTCATATGAAAAGTATGAAAAAAGGGAGTACAGGCTAGGAAGACAGAAGGATCATTATCGATTATATTTATATTACTGTATACATATGACAAACTTAAATGTAAAACAGAGGCCTATGTTTTCTAAACGCGAGTAGTCATTTCAAATCACTTGTTCTTTTTAGAATGGTCACTGGTAGGCTTCCTGCAAGAGGAATCTCACAAAAGAAACTGAAGCTCTGTAAACAGATCTGTTGATTGTAAATAAGAAAAAGGACAATACAATTGAGATAAAGTTGTTGATACTAAACTACATATATGGAAAAAAACCCATGCACATCAGGAGAGTCGAGTCCTGACAAATATGAAATGCCTGCTCCTCCCCATCCCTTAACGTTGACAATGCCTTGAAGAAATGAGGCAACAAGAAGTGATTGTGTGTAATGCAGAAAGCAGCGCACACTCTGCCAAAGACACAGTTTCACAAGAATTTTACAGTTGATGTAACCACAATCTGTTGTGGTCTCTTCCTCTCCCCTACTCCACCTCGCACATTGACACTAATGCCTCATGCAGCTGCATGGCGAGCGTGTTGATGGAACAAACCTAGATGAAAAGCAGCAACCCTTCCAAAAATTATTTTCAGCCAGAGTAGTCTGTGAAACCAGCTGGTCACAGAGCTCTAGGACAGCGTAGAGAGAACCAGCACTTTGGTAATCCAACTTGAATGAAATAGGTGTGCTCCTGCCACAGCTCAGAGAGTCTGTAGGAGAACCAAGAACTGTGGCAGACGGACAAACCTGTAACAAATTGCTATGTCCACACTTGTATCACCTATTTTACTTTTGTAGGAAGTCAAAGCAGAGAGTGTGCAATTCTCATCAGATCCAGAACAACGACAATAGCAATTTTCACCAAGCAAATGCACAACCATTTATATGCTTCCAACAGCAAAAGACAGGACACCAGAAGTCCAGAACTTGAGTTCTGAGCACCTCATCTGTAATTCAGCCATGTGAGACCTCAGACCCCACCATGCTGGTATAGGTCTTACACCTCTCAAAACACAAGGCAATGTTCACTTTCTACACTGGAGAGGGGAGAGGAATCTACTACATGTCATTTGACACAGAGGGCTAGGAATTTAAAAGACATCATTAGTACTTTTAAGAACATAAAGCAGGGGAATATTTTTTATTCACTTTATCATAAGCACAAAGCCATGTTGCAAGAACTGTAAACTGCAATGTCAAAACAGAGGTAGGAAAATCTGGAGGCATGATTATTCCTCACAGCACATCACACTGTATAAAGCTTATTTATTCAGAGTACCGCACCACTAGGTTCCTTGTAGTGGTGAGCCTCGGTTTTCCTACAACAGACATCCAAGCAGCTCAGTGTTTTCAGCTCTGGGTGTACAAGTCAGTAGTCACTAAGGAGAAGTCTGGTTTTAAATGTTGTGTCTAAAGACTGCCTTCCTAGAAAGAGCTGGGATTGAATAATCCGAGCATTTAAACAATCTTTACTTTTCATTCTTCCTTGCTCAAATGTAGGCTTTTTTTGCAAGTGACAGATTACCTTGCTAAGGCAATAGCCTCCTTTACAACATGATCTTTATCCATCCTTCTGCAGCTCCTTACCAACTCCATCGTGCAAGTGTGCACCTGGCTGGTTCTTCACCAGAGCTGCAGCTCTCACGTCTCATCTGAGCCCCAGAAGCCCTTTTCCCAGGCTTCATACTACTGAGATTTAACACAGTGCTACGGGACACTCTGGCATCCTTAGTAACGGTTGCTGCTATCGCTTTATTTGATTACAGGTAATTTTTTTCCCCTGTTTAGAAAAAGGAGCTATCCTAACACTCCTGTTGATACCAGAAATGCATCACCATTTGTTGATATTCTGTGGAGACCAACTTAGAATCTTCATAGTTCTGTAAAGCTTTCAAGCTAACATCCTGGCTTACAAATAAAGTCTCTTAACGTTTACAATATTATTCCGTAACAATACTTAACATTTCAGCAGTTGGTTACAGGATTTCACATTTTCCAGGGAAGAATAACTTTCCAGCTCTAACAAGCGAGCAGAATAACTGATACTAACCTTGCAATATCTTGTCTTTGTTGTATCTTGTTTCTCCACTGAAAGAGATTATAAACAAAAAACAATTAACTCACAATAATTTTACTGAATGTTCAAAAACACTGTTATATTAGATACCAACAGGAGACAGCAGAGTCTGAATATGAAAAATGAAGATAGAGTACAGCACAGCTTCTTTTCAAAAAGATGTATCTGAAGACTTTACCATAAAAAAAAAAACAAACCATTTTCAAGTAGTCAGCCCCAATCATGCCATCCATATTTACTAAGACAAACCTACCCGAGATAAAATGAAGGGAAGTAATTTCTTAAATTTATCATAAATGCAGCATAATTTATCTACTACTATCCTGTTATGAAAAGCCTGTGCTAGTCAATTGGACCTCTTCACCTTAAAAGGAAGCCAGTTCAAGAGATCATCAAAGATAGCAGCAGAGTAGGCTGCACTCCTTGAAGAAGAGGAACATAAGAAACCAGAGCTGTAGAAAAACTGGCAGAATGAACATCACCTTCTTTAGGAATTGGAATATTCTACCTTGAAAACCATAACTGACAGTATTTCGAGAGAAGAGCAACTAAACCCATGTGCCGATTTATTTAGTAGGGAAAATCTAAGAACTAAACTTGACACGAACAAAGTTAAGCATGCTGACTTTGTTTTGCTGACTCCTCACCTGACCGAAATGTCACGTGCTTAAGTTTTTGCAGTACTAAAGCCAAGTGCACTGCTTGGCTTTTATACAGAGAGCTATCAACACTGCTGTGCAGAAGTCCTCAAGGTGAGCCCCAAATAAGTAACTGATAACAGAAGGCCAGTACTTTAAGACAAAACACTGTATTTTAGTACACTTTAAACTCTTCCCTGCACAGGGGGCAGCAATTTAATTCTTCAGGCTCACTCCATGTCCTGACAGCTACTTCCAGCCTCCTGAGAAAAATGCAGCAGGCTGGATGGAGTCCATCCTGCTGGTCATCAGTTGGGGTGCAGGTGGGGGAAGAGCAGAACGTGCAGTTTTCCAAGTAGCACTAAGATAAGCACAGTGTACGCAAGCACAGCCTGAGGGATGAATTCCCAACCACTTGCTGGTAAATGAACTGGGATCTTTCTGAAGTGTCTGCAAGAGTCCCACCTGAAGATTTCAAGTTCAACAAATTGTTTCAGGCTCACTTTTTCTAGCAGATGTAAGTTAGGCTGCAACTACAGCACCAAGTCAGCAGATCCAGGTGTTTAGGAGAACGCAAGAGTAACTCTTAACAGGAGGAAAATCAGGGGAAAAAAAATAAAGTCATTGTTCTATCTGCACTGATCAAGTATTAAACTGTATTATGCTAAAGGGGAAAAAAGTTTAGGTTTTGTAAAAATTAAACAGTTAACTACTTTTTAAGTACTTTAGGTACTACTAATACCTGTCCATTGCAGGAAGCTGGATCTACTTAGCCTAGTTAACGACAAATCTTTCTCAATATCCACCGCAGCTTCAAAGAAAACCTCACCCTAACAACTTTAACTAAGTCACAAACGCCAGTGCTTTAGCATTTAACAGTAGAAATGCTAAACGAGCTCTTCGCCCCACCAGAGAGCTTCTGGCAGGAGAAAGGTCTCACGAGCCCTCACCCCAGAGCTCACAGACAGCGCTTACTAGTGTTACGCACCACCCCGTCCTTCCGTCAGTGCCAAACTCTATCGGTTTGCTCACGTACCTAGCCGGACCCGGCCACGCCAGAGGCCAGCCTACGGTCACCGGACAGCCGCGCCGGCTCAGGCGGCACCGAGACCCCCGGGGCGCACAGCGC